CTATTTGTATTCAATAATTCAGGCAACAAATCCAGTTTCTACAAGATAAACAGCTAATATATTGAAAGTGAGAGAGCACTGTTTACACTTAACAAATAGAAGTCTGTGAAATGAAGTGTTCAAACTCTTATATGCTATGGTCTCTCATATTTGACTCATATGGTTTCATTGCAAATATATGCAGGTCTATTTTATAATGTGCCATATTGAAATGGGTTCTGTCATAGGTTTCATGAGTTTTGGGGTCTTTCTTAGCTGAATGAGGAGAAGTTGACTTAGAGAGACAGAGAATCAGCTCTCTGTAGCAGGAACACATTTCAAACTGCCTGCCCTGTTCCTTACCTATACACCAATATCTAAGATTCTCTGTGTATGTGGGGGAGGGGGAGGAGAGAGAGAGAGAGATAAAAAGAGAGATAGAGATAGGTGGTGGCCGGGCACGGTGGCTCAAGCCTGTAATCCCAGAACTTTGGGAGGTTGAGGTGAGAGAAGTGCCTGAGTTCAGGGATTCAAGACCATCCTGGGCAACTTGGTGAGACCTCATATTTACAATAAAAAAAAATAAGCCAGGCGTGGTAGTGTGTGCCTGTAGTTTCAGCTACTTGGAAGACTGAGGCAGAAGGATCGCTTGAACCCAGCAGGTTGAGGCTGTGGTGGTCGTGAGTGTGATACATAAAAATGGTATACCATAGTAATGAGGGAAGGGAAATATGCAAATATGTGAGAAAATCTGTGAGAGGAAAGGGCAAATGAGATCAGACCCAAAGGGCTGTCTGAGGCTCTGGAGTAATACCTGTGGCAAAGTTCAAGGGCAGTGCCACAGCCACATAGAGGGCTGGCTACCTGCAAGTCTACCACATCTGGGAAATAGAGAAAAGGAAAAACAAGAAATCAAACAACTATAGATGCTTGTGGTTCTATTGAATTATTTGCCTTTCCCATCCCATAGCAAAGTCCAACTCTCCTCAACACTCAGTAACTATATTTAGCTCTGGAATAACTCTAAGGTCTCCAGGAAGAGAGACCTGTGTCCTACCTAGAATAGTGTTTGTGGGGGGGAGGGTATGTTTTAGGGGTCCTTAGAGTCCTAAACTCTAGTATCTAGCACCCACAAAGATCAGAAGTCTCACATTCATCACTAAATGTGAGTGCTGGGTCCAGCAATCTAGAAATCTCCAGATGGCAGAAGGACAGACACATTATATACAGAGTCCTTTGTTGCTGCAAATCTCTCAGATTTTCAAATAGCTGTATAAGCTGTGTTTCCTTCTCTTTCTGATTGTGAATACTTAATAATTTTTGTCTATTTTCTTCAAACCACTAGGTAGCATGTTTAAAAGAATATTTACAATTAAGGAAGGGGGGCAAGTCCACAGATCAACTGCTTTGCACATTATTTTGCCTAGAGTCTACTAGAAAAAACAAAAACAGATAGCAAATCTGGCCAGTTCAAGTCCTTGCAGAGTCATATTCCTGTAATAAGCAAGGCCCAGCATTCACTATCATTGACCTATTAAGCTCAAGCAATGTGGATCTGTGTCCTCGGGTTTAGGACAAAAATTTGCACTGATTATTTAAGTACAGAGACCCTGAAACAGGGAGAAACAAAGAATGATGAGGCCCATCTTTTCCTCAGTTATTGCATAAGCCCCTTGTTCAGGTTCCTTTTGAAATTCTAAATCCTCATAACTTATATTATCAAGTTATAAAATGGAACTTTTCTGAGTTTACCCATTCCCAGTATGGAGAAATAGTCGTTGACTGTATCCAATCAGGAAAAGTGAAGAAGAGAATTGACAGCATTAAAGACAGCAGTCAGAATGATCAGAAACCCTAGCCAATGCAGCATCTTTTTCAAAAAAGAAAGAAAGAAAGAAAGAACGAAACAAAGAAAGAAAGAAAGAAAAAAGAAAGAAAGAAAGAAAAAAAGAAAGAAAGAAAAAATGTGGCCACAGTTAGAGTCTTAAGCTGTGTAGAATAAGATCGAGTTAATTCAGTTTTTAGTCAGGCCGTTTTCTTTCTGCGAGGGCCTCAGCCCTCGTGGCTACCAGGCCCGCGGGAGCCCTCTCCTCAGTCCTCAGAGCCTCCCTGTCCATCTCAATAGCTCTGGGCCAGTTCATTTCGCCACAGCCTGGAGCTGCTCGGAAAGCAAAGATTAAAGGGGAAAGTCGCAGCTGTATATTTATATTTTCATTGCTAGAAGGGAATTGATTTCCGTGCATTTATTTTGGTAGTTGTAATACACAAGGGCGGATTTGCGTCACCCGCGCAACTTGCCGGTGGAGATAAAGTTGCACAAATATTGAAAGGGGAAGTGCTAGGAGTCATTATAGAGTTTTTCTCCGGAAGAAATAAGGATTTCTGCAGTATCCTAAAATACTAAGGCTGCTTCTATTTTGAGACCAATCTCGCAGGCACATCCGCTCATTTAGTCCGAGTTTGAGCCCATCAAAAAACAGGAGATGACCTGAACTCCGGCGAGCCCAGGGTTTCCTGCTGCTTTCTTGGTTCTGAGGGGTGGGGAGTAAGGAGGAGGAGAGTCTGCGAGCTCAGAACTGTGCTAGGGGCCCACAGAGGAGAGGCCTGGGCCTGGAGGAAAGGGTGTAAGGGGAGGCAGAGGTCGCTCCAAAGGCTTCCTTTTGCGTTAGTCAGCTGGAGCTCAGAGTAGGCCCCGGATAGCGCTGCTGCGTTGCAAGGAATCCTAGGGCCTGGGAGAGCCGAAGGGCCGCGCGGGCGAAATTGCAGCTTGCAATGCAGCCTCGGCCCTTGCGGAGAGAGACAGGCTTGCGGCCGCGGCGAGGAGTCGGCGGGAAATCCGCCCTCTGGGCCTCGTTTCATGGAGTCTGCCAAGTGCTCGGGGCCGAAGCCTGACAGACGCGGGTCGTGGGCGCCTCAGAGAAATCGGAGGGCCCGCGTACTCCGGAGTCTGCATCCCGTGCCCACTCCAAAGAGCCGCAGACTTTGAAACCAGCGAAAGTGGGTGGGGGAGACATCTTTTCTGGGGAGGGAGTGAAAGCGCCTGCTGCCACCTGGGGTGAGGCATAAATGCACCTCTTCTTTTGGAACAGATTTTGAGCTTAGGCCAAGGTCTGAATGTTTGCAGTCAAATTGGAATCACAATCGAACTAGAAGTGGCTCTAGGAAGAATAGAGGGCTCATGGCCGCCACCACACACATGCGGCGACTTTCCCTGGAGGTTGTGAAGTTACAGAGAGGCCGCCCTCCCACCAGGGTCTCTCCAGAACCCTCAGCCAACGCCTCAAGAGGACTTGCTCACTCCTATGCCTTTAACTTGACTTAGAAGGACTGGTCTTCCTGCCTGTGCTGCCCCAGGAGTCCCTGTCCACAGTCAGCCACACCTCCATCCCCGCTTCAGGGACAGGTCAAGAAAACCGTTTAGTAAAAGAGAGGGAGGGAGGGAGAGATCTCCGTGCTGGCTGATCAGCAATGACTGATTCCTTCCCAGGAGAAAGTCAAAAGCTTAAAATGATAGCATCTGCAACAAAGGGGTAGAAACCACTAAAAACTAGTTTAATGAGCTCCAATTCTGAACCCGAGATAGATACTGTAAGTTCTGTTGTCTTTCTTGGCTTATTTGTAAGGTGTCTTAGCGCTGAAGGGAAATAAAAAAATACCACGGAAGCTCTGTTAGGAGATGCTTATTAGGACAATCGAAAACAAAAGATTTCGCGGTTTCATTATTGCTATTATTTTATTTTCTTCCTGAAAATGTGCAAGAACAGCTCATTTGGGTAGCCTGTGGTTGGTTTGGGGGTGGGGTGGGGAAATCCATTCTGACTATAATTTAAAAGAGAACGAATTCCTAAAATAGAGATGTTGATGTTGCAGAAAACCCCCACTATGCCCACCCTGCGTTCTAAAGACCCAAGGCGCGAATGGGAGACGTTGGTTACCTCTACAGCTCCTCCTGCGACCAGGCCCAAGAGGTTCCCGAGGAAACTGTCACTGAATTGAAAGTAATATTGAACCCCACGGAAATCTGCTCTTGTGGGCACTTGCCAAACAACGGACCCCACGTGATCGGGGATATGGCGGAGGAGGGAGGCTGACATTTCCTACAAGGTACAGCAGAGGAGGGGACGCGCGCGCTGCTCTCCTGGGTTTGGGGGGGGAGTGGTGGTGGCCTGTTTTGTGGTCTCGGAGGCTCCTGGGAAAGGTTTGGCTGCGTCTGAAGGAGACGTTAAAAGCCATCCATCTTATTTTGTTTGAAAAGTCACTCGTTCAAGTTGTCACTGTGTGACAGCTCAGAATAAAACTAATTTGCGGCCGCCCCTCCTCTTCGCTTCCCTAAGGATCTCCTCGGAGGCAGCGAGGCGGACGCAGTGCCGAGTTGTGCCGGGACTCAGGGCCGAAGCATCCGGGCAGGGGTTCAGGAAAGATGGGGACTTTGCCGAGGACACGGACTCTTGGGATAAAAGCAGGATTGGGTAAAGCGGAGGGAACCTAAGGGGCCACAGGCGCTCGCCGCTCTCCACCGGGAGGTGGGTTTTGCGCCGCCCTAAGGCGCTCCACAGCCATCCTTCCCCTAATCCTCCCTCTCGCCCGGGGTGGCAAGCCCTCCAGGAAGGCTCCCGTAACCAACTCTCCTTGCCCAGCGGCGGCTCGGAGCTGCAAAAGTTAGGGGCGAGTCAGAGCACTCCGGAGCGGCCGCTTGGCCCCTGCACAGCGGAGAAAGACTCGCGGCGCCGCGCCCAGCCGAGCCCACGCGGCCCGAGCAAACACTTTGGCGTGGCCGGGGCGTGGCCCGGCCCTGGCCACGCCCCCTCTTTCCCAATTCCCCTCCACTCTCAGCTCCCATTGGTTGCGGGGATGACCAATGAGCGCCCGGATCGAGGTCCTACCCCGGGCCTGACTCGAAAGCTCCTGCCAAAACTTTGGGAGTTTTTAGAGAAGCATTTTTTTTTTCTCTTATGACTTTTTTTTCAACTAACGGATTATTATTGTTGTTGTTTTAAATTTAGCTCTTAGGGCTTAGCTGCTTGGGTTTTTCTCTCGGCGTCCGGCTCCTATCTCCCCGGCTTCTCGGGGGTGAGTGGCGCCGTGGGCCCCGCCCGCCTCGCGGCCCCGGCGGCCCTCTCTCGCCTCCAGCCCGCACCGCCTTTCAAGCGAGGCCAGGGGCCGAGGCAGTGACCAGCTGGGATCCGGCCCTCGCCTCCTCCGCCGTGGCGCTAGGGCTCCCCGGCCTCTCGTCCTCAGGGCGGGCGGAGAAGCGAAAGCGGATCGTCCTCGGCTGGAGCCGCCTCCTCCTGGACCCGCGCGCCCCTCCCGGGGCACCCACCCACCCACCTCGTCCCGCCGGAACGCGGCAGCCGCGCGGCTTAACCCGCCAGGATGTTCGCAGCCGGGCTGACTCCTTTCTACGCCTCCAACTTTAGCCTCTGGTCGGCCGCTTACTGCTCCCCGGCCGGCCCAGGCGGCTGTTCCTTTCCCTTGGACCCCGCCGCCAAGAAGCCCTCCTTCTGCATCGCAGACATCCTGCATGCCGGCGTGGGGGACCCAGGGGCGGCTCCGGAGGGCCTGGTGGGGGTCTCCGCCGCCGCCCTCACAGCGCACTTGGGCTCGGTACACCCGCACACCTCTTTCCAAGCTGCCGCCAGATCCCCCCTTCGACCCACCCCAGTGGTGGCGCCCTCCGAAGTCCCGGCTGGCTTCCCGCAGCGGCTGTCTCCGCTCTCAGCCGCCTACCACCACCATCACCCACAGCAACAGCAGCAGCAACCGTCGCAGCCGCAACAGCCGCCGCAGCAACAGCCCCCGCCTCAACCCCGGGCCGGTGTCCTGCAGCCCCCGACCTCGGGCACGCGAGGGGTCCCGAACTCCCACCATAGCGGCTCTGTCCCGGCCCCCTCAAGTAAAGACCTCAAATTTGGAATAGACCGCATTTTATCTGCAGAATTTGATCCAAAAGTCAAGGAAGGCAACACGCTGAGAGGTAGGTCAAGGGCGGGAGTCTGCAGGCTTCTCTCACCACGGCCCTGACCCACTCTCTGTGCCCCGGGCCGGTTTGGGGTGCCTTTGAATGTTTCTTTTTTTTATAATGGAGGACAAATTGGTAAATGGGAGAGAAGAAAACAAATGGTAAGAAAATACAAAATATTAGGTCTAAAATTCACCTGCTCTGCGGAAAACAACAACAAAAATGACTCCAGGGATGCTTTAAGGACACGTCCCAGAATCAGTATTAAACATGGTTGGTGCAAAATTTGCCAAAATGATTACAATTTATGTCTTTAGTCACGTATCTGGAGAGAAAACTATATTTTAAGATAGGGAAAGCGCTTCGGGGGAACACTTTCCCATTCATGTATCTGATTTCTAGTAAAATTCACCCAAGACGTATAGACTATAAACAAAACCGTCGGTCAAAATTCCCAAAAGGAGAGAGCAGAGTAGGGGCTTCTTGAGGTTGTAGGTTTGGGGTTTGTGGAATCATTAGAAGGCACCAGAAAGTGGAGTCCTGAGGCTGATTTAGGTAAAGCCCTTCTTTGCTATATGCATGAATGTGGACGTTAGGGACACACAGCCACTTCTCTTGCATGCTCCTTTTCAGCTGTCTGGAGAGAGAGGTTTTGGCAAGGGGAAGGGGAGGAACAAACCCGCCGAGATAAGAGTGTACGTTTTCCCGAGGTGTAACCAGCTCTTCTTTTCCCTTGTCCCCAGATCTCACGTCTCTGCTCACCAGCGGACGCCCCGCGGGAGTGCACCTCCCTGGCCTGCAGCCCTCCGCCGGCCAGTTCTTCGCGTCTCTAGATCCCATTAACGAGGCTTCTGCCATCCTGAGTCCGTTAAGCTCGAACCCAAGAAATTCAGTCCAGCATCAATTCCAAGACACGTTTCCAGGTACGGAAAACCTCCAGAGTATGGCCCCACCGGCAGGTCGACTGACAGAAATCTCAGGACTGACGCCTCCAGGGGCGGCCGCGGTGTCGAAATCTTGCAGTTGAGGCGGGAGGCTACGAAGATGGGAGAGAGAAACCGAAAGATTTCTCAGCTAGCTGGCGCTCACTTCAGACGGCTCCCCTGGGAAAAGCGTGGGGGCGCTCAGAGAGCCAAGGAAGTGTGTGAGTGGGCGG